ACTTTAAATCCCCCCAAGCTCCAGTTGCCATGTTTCCCTCCAGCTGGACCTCTGCCCTCAGCTCACCTGCCCTGGGCCTCGTCTCCAGCTAAACAGATCCAGAGTTACTCCTTATCCTGCCCCCAACCCTCGCCCCAGGCAGCTGCTGCCCCCACTGCATCAGCCCTTGGCCCTTAGTCCTGTCTGCTTGGCCTCACAGAAAGATCTAGAATCCATCCTTCTCCCCACGTCATCTTCTGTCTCCTGGGTGGGGTAGCCCTGCTTCACCCCGGCCTCCTCACCACCAGGGTCACACTCTGTTGCCCAGGCTGCAGCAGTGCAGTGACATAATCAGCCTGGTTAATGTGGCCACTGCTGGGATCCTGCTAAAATGCAGCCAGAGCTGGAGGGGCTCCAGTTCCCCAATGAAGCCAAAGGCCTTGCATGCTTCACCTCCTCTGCCACTCTCTCCCTGCACGCCGGGGCCTCCCACCTGGGCCCACACATCCTGGCCTTGGCTTTTACTGTCCTGGGGCTGGAACGGTCCCCCGAGTGCTACACCCAGCTCTCTCCCGTCTCAAGTCTCTGCTCAAATGTTACCTTCACAGGGAAGAACTGCCGGGGCCGCTTACTTAAGACTGTGTCCCTCCATCCTCACCCACCCCAGCCCCCACCCCCTCCCCACACCTCTTATCTGCTTTGGTTTCCCCCACTGACTTCATCAGCTATTAGACTAAGTGATTAAAACATTAAAAAAAAATTATAGAGAGGGGATTTCACTATGTTGTCCAGGCTGGTGCTGAACTCCTGGGCTCAGGTGATCGTCCTGCCTTAGCCTCCCAAAGTGTTGGGATTACAGGCATGAGCAACTGTGCCAAACCTAAATGCTTTTTAAATTTTTATTTTTATATATTTGGAGGATATTAGACCAGGCGCAGTGGCTCACACCAGCACTTTGGGAGGCCAAGGCAGGTGGATCACCTGAGGTCAAGAGCTCCAGATCAGCCTAGCCAACATGCCAAGACCCTGTCTCTACTAAAAATGCAAACATGAGCCAGGTGCTGTGGTGCGCCTGAGGTCCCAGCTACTCGGGAGGCTAAAGCCCAAGAATTGCTTGAGCCCAGGAGGTCGAGGTTGCAGTGAACCGAGATCATGCCACTGCACTCCAGCCTAGGTGACAGAGTGAGACTCTATCTCAGAAAAAAAAATTTAGAGGGTGCAAGCACATTTTTGTTGCATGGATAAATCGTGTAGTGTAAAGTCTGGGCTGTTAGTGTCTATTACCCAAATCATGAACAGTGGATCCCAGAGGTAATTTCTCCTCCCTTGCCCCCTCCCATCCTTCCGAGCCTCCAATGTCTGCTCTTGCACCCTGTGGCCATGGGTGCTCATTGCTTTGGTCCCACTGAGAAATGAGAACATGCAATATTTGTCTTTCCGTGTTTGACTTGTTCCAATTAAGATAATGGCCTCCAGTTCCACCCATATTGCTGCAAATACCTGATTTTGTGTTCTTTTTCGTGGCTTCATAGTGTTCCATTGTGTGTATATTCACCACATTTTCTTTATCCGTCATCTGTTGATGGACACTCAGGTGGATTTCACGGCTTTGCTGTTGTGAACAGTTGCTGCGATGAACACACGAGTGCGGGTGTCTCTTTGGTATAATGACTTCTTTTCCCTTGTGTGCCCAGTAGTGGGGTTGCTGGTCAAATGGTTGCTGCAGTTTCAGTTCTTTGAGAAATCTCCGTGCTGTTTTCCATAGAGCGAAATGATTTAGTTACTTTTAAAAACTCTCTGTTGCATCCGATGTCCATGTGGCTTTTGGTCTGCTCATTGCTGTATCTGCAGCACTTAGGACAGTACCGGCACACAGGAGGTGCTCAGCAAATGCTTGTTGATTGAGTTAAGGAGGGCAAGGAGACTGTCTTATTTTCCTTGATAACTCCAGCACGTGGTGGGTGGGCTCTGTGGCCTTTGGTGGGACAATGAATGGATAGCTCTGTTCAAAGCAGCTCCCCAGGGCCAGGCGTGGTGGCTCATGGCTGTAATCCCAGCACTTTGGGAGGCTGAGGTGGGCGGATCATGAGGTCAGGAGTTTGAGACCAGCCTACAAGGTGAAACCCTGTCTTTACTAAAAATACAAACATCAGCCAAGTGTGGTGGTGGGTGCCTGTAATCCCAGCTACTTGGGAGGTCGAGGCAGGAGAATTGCTTGAACTCGGGAGGCAGAGGTTGCAGTGAGCCACGATTGTGCCATTGCACTCCAGCCTGGGCAACAAGGTGAGAAGAGCAAGACTCTGTTTAAAAAAAAAAAAAAAAAAAGAGTAGCTCCCCAGACTCCTGGGCCCACATCTGAGATGCCACCATCATCGGTGAGTCACTTCTTTCACCAGTGGCAGCTGCTGTTAGCCCAGAAATGCCCCAGTGGCCCTGTCAGTCATCACCGCCCCAGTGCACATGGATCAGAGGCCCTGAGGCCAGGCTGGCAGGGAGCGGGGAGTGGGTGGCAGGGGCATGCGGCTCATCTGACTCTTGCACAGGCAGGGATGCCAGCCAGCGTGTGGGTCTAGCATTGGCAGGCACTCAATAAATATTTTGTTTAGTGAACGTTGAATCATGCCAGGGTCTCTGCCCTGTGGCGTTTCAGAGAATCCACCCTCTACACCTGGTTATGGGGAACTGGTCTCTGGGGCCTTTCCCCAGGACTTGTGCCAGGAAATCTTCACCCAAGTCCTCAGGGCTTCCCCCTGCTCCTCCTGGGCCCTTCTCCTCAGGGCGGTCTTCCTGGCCACCCCATCTCAGGGACAGTGGCATCTCGGGCAGGGCCCATGGCTACTCTTGGGTCTCCAGGGCAGTGAGTCAGGTGTTCAGAAAGGTAGAAAAGCTGGAATGGAGAGGAAACCTGAGTGGGAGGCAGAGAGGGAGGCCGGAGCGTTCGATCCCCAGCCACTTGCAGACTTGCTGCTTCCACATTCATTTATTCATTCAACAAACACCCGCTGAGCCCCAGGGTGCAGCAGGCACTGACCATGATCCTGGGAGTCCACAGGGAGCCCCCCAACACCCACACTGTTCCCCCAGCACCCAGCTTCACAGTGGCCCTCCAGGGTCCAAGCTACCACCCACCTCCTGGACACCTCACTGTCATCTGTCACCTGCCTCCCACACCCAGGAAGACATGTGCTTCCGGAGCACAGGACCTGTGTCTTTTTTTCTGGGGGGGGACCTGTGTCTTATTCATCACGTATGTCCTGGTGCCCAGCAGGCCTGGCATACAGCAGGTGCTCAATACATATTTGCAGAATGAACTGGGGAGGCCACCCACCTTACTTCAGAAGGCAGTGGGGTGGGGAGCAGGAGGGCCCTGGCCACTCTGGGTGCAGAGCTGAGCTGGGGACAGTGAGTAGGGTGGGGGTGCCCAGCTCACATTTCTGCTCTGGGGCCACTGCTGCTCAGAGACACGGCCCCTCGCCTCCACCACTCGGCGTTGTCTTTTCCTGCAGTTCCCCCAAACCCCCTCTGAGTTGTGGGACAGAGAATAATACATTCTCTGGGGCTCCCGAAGGCCCTGCTTTTTGACTTGTCTGTGGGTGGGGCAGGGCATGGCCTCTCTGCCACCAGAACGCAATAATTGTCCCGCTTCCACCCTTACCCTTAACAGACTGAGGAGGTGGGCAGCAAAGAGTCCTCCCTCAGGGCAAATCGCATCCTGCTCAGAGCGTGGAGCCCCTGAAACAGCTGCGGTGGTCTGCCAGGCCCCGACCCCTGCCACCGTGACTCGGCTGGGAGCAAGGTCGGGCACAACCTGGGCAGGGTGAGGCACGTCCTCCTCCAGGCTCTTGAAGCCCCCCCGGGGTGCAGTCCAGGCAGCCATCCCCAGAGTCGGGGTGCAGGTCCGGCTCCACCACTCACCCAGCAGTGGGGCATCTCAGGTGAGTCACTTAACCACCCTAGGCTGCCTCAGTTTCCTTATCTGCAAAGTGGGAATAATAAAGAAATTTGAGGATTAGGTGAGGCGATTCATGGCACTCCTAAATGTTTGCTCTATTATATAAATCCTATATTTGTATCCGTATAAATATATTTATTACATACACTTTCACTGCTGTGGTTGCTTTTCATCCACCCCCCGCAGTAGCAAGGGCCCTGCTGGAGGCTTGTTGATGAAGTGAGCGAAGGGGTGCAGGCTCCTGCCTCTGTGTGGAGGAGGAAGCCTGCTCTGCTGTGTGGGAGCGTCCCAAGTGTGGGGCACTGCGTGGCACTGTGAGGCACTGAGTCAGGGAAGGTCTCACAGGATCCAGCCCCAGGTTGCCATTGCTGCTGCTCGGTGAAAACACCAAGAATCCACTCCCAGCCCAGGACCCGAACTGGCACAGCCCAACTCAGCCCAGCTGCTCTTTGGCTCCAGGGAGTCCCAGCCCTTCCCGGGGCCCCTTCTCTCCCAGGCCCCCGGTTGACCCAGCCCTGGTGACCATGGGCTCCTCCGCTTCCTGGGAGTTCAGGTGAGAGGTGAGTCGTCAGGTGTCTGAATGGCGGGGCCAAGCCCCACCCGCAGGAATGACGGGAGGGCAGCCACCGGGAGGCCACCTAGGTCGCCACTCACCTGATTCACAGCTTTTGGGAAATGGGTTAACGGGATTTCCGAGCCCTGGGTTGGGCCAGGTCTCTGGGCTGAGTCACAGGGGCCCGGCCCCCTGCTGGTGGGAGCCGTTTACTCAGCCTCTGGCACCCCCTTGATCCCTAAGGCCCTAGGAGCCCCCAACACCCAGTTCCCCAGACTTCAGCCACTACAGACCCAAGCCATCCCCAGCCCAGAACCCCTTCCTTTCAGTGCCCTGGGACCTTTCTCTGCCTCGGACAGTCAATGTTCGGACCACTGGGTCCAGGCTCCCTCCCCTGCCCTCCAGAGGCCACACGCTGCACCCACAGCTGGAGCCTGGGGTCTCAGCTAGAGCCCCCCCAGGCCCTGTAGCGGCTGGCTTCCTCCCCGAAGCCCCGCCCCCTGCCCATGACCCACAGCCAGGGTGGCCGAGGGAGCCACCTGGGGACTGGTCTGACGGCATTCCACCTCCTGGGATAAAACCTGGGGCGACCTGCAGAGAACCTACACACCCTGACCCGCATCGCCCTGGGTCCCTCGAGCCGGCTGCCTGCGCCCCCGTCCCACCAGCCATGGTGGTTTCTGGAGCGCCCCCAGCCCTGGGTGGGGGCCGTCTCGGCATCTTCACCTCCCTGCTGCTGCTGGCATCGACAGGTACGTCGGAGGCTGCGCCTCCCTCCTCCCTCCACCCTTCTCGCTCCTCCCCGCTCCCTCCCCGCCTGGCCTCTCTCATCTCTCTGCTTCTGCTCTCCGTTCGTCTCTGGCTCCTTAACTGCTCGGTGCCTCGGTTTCTTCTACGGCTGTGAGGATTAAACAGAAAACGCAGCAAGCCCACGGCACACCTCGGCCCCCAGTTCCTGCCGTCCTGGTCGCCTTCACCTCCTCCCTCCCGCCTCCGGGTTCTCCCATCTTCTCCCCCTCCCTTGCCTCGGGGGCAGCACCGTTTTGTTTTGTTCCTGGGGCAGGAGGTTACGGGGAGGGCACCAGCGGCAGCAGCGTCCAGGCCGCAGGGGCTCAGGTCTGTGCCTCCCTCGGAGGATCTGGTCCTGGTCGCCGGCGGACAGGCTGGACGGGAAGCTGCGGGAGGGCAGGGCCACAGCTGGGCCCCAGGAAATGCCCCGCTGGGAGGGGCCCTGGGGGTGAGAGAATTGAGGAGCTCCCTGGGCACTGGAGGGATGCGGGTTCCTTACCACCAGGTACTCAGGGGGACCCCGCCTCACTGGGCGCTGGGGGACTCTCCTTACTGGGTGCTGGGGGACCCGCCTTCACTGGGCGCTGGGATCACTACTCACTGGGCGCTGGGACCTTCTCACTGGGCACTGGGACCCTCCTCTTGGGCGCTGGGACCCTCTTCACTGTGTGTTGGGACCTCCTCCTCACTGGGCACTGGGATTCCTTCTTACTGGGTGTTGGGGACCCTTCCTCACTGAGCATTGGGCGCCCCTCACTGGCCTGACCAATTCCTTCTCTTGCCCTCAGCCACCCTCAGTGCGGCCAGGATACCTGGTGAGTGGAAGGGGCAGCCCTGACGGGAGGGAGGGGGAGGAGGCTCAACTGCAGGCAGGGTGTGTGTGTCCCTCGCCTGAGAACCGGTCAGAAGGGGCTGGGGTGAGGGGGGAAGGAGCCCGAGGGGAAGGGAGTCAGGAAGAAGACACCGATAGAAGGAAGGCTTGAGAGGTGCTAGGGCTGGAGGAGAGAGAGACCCAGGAAGGTGAACGGAGCAGAGTGGGCCGGGTAAGGAAAGACGGGGAGGGAGAGACCAGGTGCAGCTGACAGGGAGGGCGTGGGAAGGCCAGGGCCAGGGCCAAGGGAGGACCAGCGGAGAGCCAAGCTGGAGGGAGGGAAGGCATCGGGAAGCGGGCGGAGCTTGGGGTGGGGGTGGGGTTTGGAGTGCAGGTGGAGCTTAGGGTGTGGGTGGAGTTTGGCGGCCTGAATGGAGCTTCGGCTGTGGGCAGAGCTTGGGGTGCAGGCCTAGGGATTGGGATTCTGAGGGTGGGTTGTAGAAAGTTGGAGATGACAAAACTTGACCCTCCCCTCCAGTTCCCCCAGCCTGTGGGAAGCCCCAGCAGCTGAACCGGGTTGTGGGCGGCCAGGACAGCGATGACAGCGAGTGGCCCTGGGTCGTGAGCATCCAGAAGAATGGAACCCACCACTGCGCCGGTTCCCTGCTCACCAGCCGCTGGGTGATCACCGCTGCCCACTGTTTCAAAGAGTATGTGCAGCTCCCCGGGGACACGTGATCCTCCAGGCCCTGGGCCTCTGTTCAATCTTGGTGCCCCTCAGTAGAGACCTTGATTCTACCCAGAAGGCTCTCCTGCCTTCAGGGGCCTTCATCCTCCTGCTGTTCCCCCAGGCACCTCCTCCCAGACCCTCCTGGCTGATCCTCCCCTTGCCTTTCCTTCCAGCAACCTGAACAAGCCGTCCCTGTTCTCTGTGCTGCTGGGGGCCTGGCAGCTGGGGAACCCTGGCTCTCGGTCCCAGAAGGTGGGTGTTGCCTGGGTGCAGCCCCACCCTGTGTACTCCTGGAAGGAGGGTGCCCGTGCGGACATCGCCCTGGTGCGTCTCGAGCACTCCATACAGTTCTCGGAACGGGTCCTGCCCATCTGCCTGCCCGATGCCTCTGTCCACCTCCCTCCAAACACCCACTGCTGGATCTCGGGTTGGGGGAGCATCCAAGATGGAGGTGAGGCTTCTTTCTCTCCAAGGTGGTTGGGGGTGGATGGGGACAGAGGATCAGAGGATGGCAGACACTCAGGGATGCAGACACTCAGGGACACAGACACCATAAGCAGTAAAAAAGGGTGGAGGCCAGAGGCACAGCATGACAGAGACGGAAGAAAAGATGGGCTGTGATCCAGAAGAAACCTCGGTGGACGATTTCAGGCCATTTCTTTTTTCTTTTTTTTCTGAGGCAGGGTCTCACTCCATCACCCAGGCTGGAGTGCAGTGGTATGATCATAACTCACTGCAGCCTCCGCCTCCCAGGCTCAACAATATTCCCACCTCAGTCTCCCAGGTAGCTTGGCCTACAGGTGTGTACCACCACATCTGGCTAATTTTTATATTTTTTGTAGAGACAGGATTTTGCCATGTTGGCCAGCCTGGGCTCAAACTCCTGGGCTCAAGCAATCCACCAGCCTCAGCCTCCCAAAGTGCTGGGATTATAGGTGTGAGCCACTGTGCCCGGCCTCATTTCTACTTCAAAAGTGTCTGGCTATGTTTTGAGGCAACAGCCAGCTCTGTGAAGCTATTCATTGATACAGGAATGGCTGAAAGGAGGTGTGTCATGGGACTAGGCTGAATACAGGGTGACTGTAAAAAGAGGCCTGATTCTAGAGTGGGAACAGGCATCCCCTGGTGGCAGCATGCCACAATTGCGGGCAAAATTCTCAGGCGAAAATGCAGCCTCCTTAATTGTAAAATATAATTTTCAAACCACCTCTAGAGGCCTGGAAGACATCATCTTGAAACTCAAACTAGATTAAATAAAGCAAGAAGCAGGGAAGCAGCAAGAGAAAGGTAGATGTCAGATTGACAGGCAGATGGATGATAGAGACTGGGCCAAGGAAAAGAAACATACAGGCAGAAATGAGGATAGATACAATGAAGACCTGAGAGAGAGAGAGTTTGAGAGAGAGAGACAGAGACTAAGAACACAGTGTAAGAAGATGACAATTTAACCAGATTCCAGAATAATTAAGAGAAATGACACTAGTTCAGGTGTGTGGGGATCCCACTGACTCTAAGGTTGCAGCCTCCCCATAATCTCTGTAGGGGCTTCTTCAAGAGCTAGAATTGCGGACTTTCAGTCCACAATCTGCAGACCACAGGCTGTAGGAAAGGTGTGGGGATCCCCCAGGTCCTGGTAAGTTTCGACATCGACTGGACATTTATCGAACACTTTTTCTGTAACAGACCTGGTGCTGGATGAAGTAATGCAGTGTCTGAGACAGGAAAGGCTCTAACCATCTGTGGATATCAGAAAATTTATTAAAGAGGAAGAGACCTAGGTTTCATACTCGTGTAATGATTCAGCAGGGCCAGAGGTGGAGATCTGGAATTTTGATTTTCTGAAAGCATCTTGGGAGAGCTAGAGAGCTAATCTGTTAGCCTTTGAGAACCACTGCTGAGGGAAATCGGGGATGGGGTGGGGGATAGTCCTTTGAGGAAGCAACAAGTAGGGGAGGCCCCCAAGCCTGACTCTGTTTTCTTTCCTCCCAGTGCCCTTGCCCCACCCTCAGACCCTGCAGAAGCTGAAGGTTCCCATCATTGATTCGGAAGTCTGCAGCCGCCTGTACTGGCGGGGAGCAGGGCAGGGAGCCATCACTAAGGATATGTTGTGTGCTGGCTACTTGGAGGGGGAACGGGATGCTTGTCTGGTAAGCACCCCCCAGCCAGGAGGGCCTCAAGAAGGAGCCAGCGTCAGCCGTGTCCCCACTGAGCCCCACCACCTACCTCTCCCTAGCCTCCTCCCCAGAACTGGCTGTGCCTGACAGTCTCCAGTCCCCATAGACCCAGCCTCAGCCTGACTCAGCCACTCACTTATTTGTTCAGACATTAAACTGGGCATCCCAGCTGCACCGCCTCCCCCTCCAGGAGCTTGCATTTCCTTCAGTGGGCTTCCCACGCCTCAGTGGCCAGAGCCAGCTCCAGCTCAGGGACTGTCTGTAAGATGGTCAGACAGTGCAGGGGCAGCACCTGGGCCTGGAGGTCCTGATGCCTGGCTGCAGCTCCTACTCTGCCGCCAGGGATTTCTCACGTGGGTGGAGCTTGGGTCCTGTCCCCTCCAGGAAGGAGAAATAGGCTCCCGGGAAGGGGCTCATCTGCCCCCTGACAGGGCACTGGCCCTGGGTTCTGCCACCCCCTGTACCACGGGTGTTCCTAACCTCGCATCCTCTCCGCAGGGCGACTCCGGGGGCCCCCTCATGTGCCAGATGGACGGCGCCTGGCTGCTGGCCGGCATCATCAGCTGGGGTGAGGGCTGTGCCGAGCGCAACAGGCCCGGGGTCTACATCAGCCTCTCAGCGCACCGCTCCTGGGTACAGAGGATCGTGCAAGGGGTGCAGCTCCGCGGGCGCGCGCAGGGGAGTGCGGCCCTCAGGGCACTGAGACCAGACTCCGGGTCCGCCGCGGGCTCCTAGGGCACAGGGGGACTCGGGGCTTAGCTCTGGAACTGGATCTGCGGCGGCCTGGGGCAGTTTCCCCCGCTGTAAACAGACCCATCTACCTCTGGGGGCATCCGCATTCCCGGCCTACGGCTGCAACCGAAAGAAGGCTCCGCCCCCGCCCCGTCCCGCCGCGCTGCGATCGACGGCCTCAGGCCCCGCCCCCAAGACGTCAGGCCCCGCCTCCGGGCCCCAGCGCCCTTGTGTATATAAATGTTAATGATTTTTATAGTTATTTGTAACCTTTCCCACATACCTTATTTATTCCTCCAATTTCAATAAATTATTTATTCTCCAGTCTGTTTTTTTCCCATGGCTGGGATGGGAAAGCAAGGATCCAGAGGGGGTTAAGGTGGGGGCTTTTGTATTTTTATTAGAGATGGGGTTTCATCATATTGGTTGGGCTGGTCTCGAACTCCTGACCTCAGGTGATCCACCTGACTCGACCTCCCAAAGTGCTGAGATTACAGGCATGAGCCGCCATGCTAGGCCTTTGTTTTGTTTTTTGAGATGGAGTTTTGCTCTTGTTGCCCAGGTTGGAGTGCAAAGGCGAGATCTCGGCTCCCTGCAACCTCTGCAATTGTCCTGCTTCAGTTTCCTGAGTAGCTGGGATTACAGGCATGTGCCACAAAGCCCAACAAAGAAAATTTTTTGTTGTATTTTTAGTAGAGATGGGGTTTCACCATCTTGGCCAGGCTGGTTTAGAACTCCTGACCTGATGTGATCCACCCATCTCGGCCTCCCAAAGGGCTGGAATTACAGGTGTGAGCCACCATGCCCCAGCCGAGGCCTGTTTGCTTTAAGCCATGGTTGCTTGGATTTTCTTTTACTTGCAGCTAAATACATCTCTAACTCATACATCCGCTCCAAACCTTCTATTTTGTAATGGTTTTAGACTTGCCGAAAACTCCTTTTGTTTTAAAATTTGTTGTTGTTGTTGTTGTTGTTTTAAAATTTTTACAGAAAACTTTGTTTTCATGATACAGGATGTTAGATTTTATCAGCATAATTGAATCCCAGATAAATTACCCAAATTATGAAGACGTTGAGCTCCCAGTTATCCACAAGAATTTCAGACCCTCAAAGGGTCCCCCAGTTAGTTTCAGGTTTCCCCAACATTTTATTGTTGTTGTTAGAGACAGGGTCTTGCTCTGTGGCCCAGGCTGGAGTACAGTGGTGTGATCATGGCTCACTGCAGCCTGGCAAAATAGTAGCTGTTAGTAAATGTTTCATGAGTCAGTGGTAATAAGTATCATTTATTTCATCAGTTTGGTAGACAATGTGGATACCTTTTTTTTTTCCTTTTTTTTTTTTTTAATTGAAACAGAGTCTTACTCTGTTGCCCAGGCTGGAGTACAGTGATGTAATCTTGGCTCACTGCACCCTCTGCCTCCCAGGTTCAAGCAATTCTCCTGTCTCAGCCTCCCAAGTAGCTGGGATTACAGGTGCCCGCCATCATGCCTGGCTAATGTTTGTATTTTTTTTTTTTTTGAGATGGGGTCTAGTTCTGTCACCCAGGCTGGAGTGCAGTGGCACGCTCTCTGCTCACTTCAACCTCTGCCTCCTGGGTTCATGTGATTCCCCTGCTTCAGCCTCCTGAGTAGCTGGGACTACAGGTGTCCCCCACCCCACCTGGCTTTTTTTTTTTTTTTTTTTTTTTGTCTTTTAGTAGAGATGGGGTTTCACCATGTTGGCCTAGATGGTCTCAATCTCCTGATTTCATGATCCGCTTACCTTGGCCTCCCAAACTGCTGGGATTACAGGCCTTCTTTTTTCTTTTTTTTTTTTGAGACGGAGTTTCACTCTTGTTACCCAGGCTGGAGTGCAATGGCACGGTCTCGGCTCACCGCAGCCTCCGCCTCCTGGGTTCAGGCAATTCTCCTGCCTCAGCTTCCTGAGTAGCTGGGATTACAGGCATGCACCACCATGCCCAGCTAATTTTTTGTATTTTTAGTGCAGACGGGGTTTCACCATGTTGACCAGGATGGTCTTGATCTGTTGACCTCGTGATCCACCCGCCTCGGCCTCCCAAAGTGCTAGGATTACAGGCGTGAGCCACTGTGCCCGGCCCAGGCCTTCTTTTTTCTAATTAGTCAAGCACCGCATTCTCTTATTAACAGAGATCCTTTCTCTCTTGAGACCATCTCCCTACCTCCATGGAATACCCAAGAATTTCAGAGTTTATATGGGTCAAAGAGTCCAGTCCTATGAGCACTGGAAAATTCCACCATTCTTTCAGTTCTGTTGATTTGTTCAACATCAAGTGGTGGTGCAGATGGACAATGGTCTCCATAGTCCTACAGTTGCCCCCCTCGTTCCACGGCAAAGACTTTGCTCAACTGGCCCCCTGCCCTGATGACTTACATGTGGGATCTGAGGTCGAAGGTCTTCAAAGTCACACTCAATAGGCCCAGCCATCATTTCACAGAGCACAGTGCCTGTGTGGCCATATCTAAAGGGCTTCTGGCCTCAGCCACAAGCTGCACATGAACAGATGCTTGGGCTGAGCCCGTGTGTGTGAGTCCAAAGCTTGTACCATTTGCTGCATGACAGCCAAAAAGTTGAGAAACAAGATGTTGGGGTAAGGAAGGCAAGTTTATTTCAGAAAGTCAGTAAACCAGGCCAGGCGCAGTGGCTCATAGGTGTAATCCTGGCCCTTTGGGAGGTCAAGCAGGCAGATCACGAGGTCAAGAGATCATCCTGTTCAATATGGGGAAACCCCGTCTCCACTAAAAATACAAAAATTAGCTAGGCATGGTGGTGCATGCCTGTAATCCTAGTTACTCAGGAGGCTGAGGCAGGAGAATCACTTGAACCTGGGAAGCGGAGGTTGCAGTGAGCTGAGATCGCACCACTGCACTCTAGCCTGGGCAACAAAGTGAGACTCCATCTCACAAAAACAGAAAGTCAGCGAACCGAGAAGATGGTAAGAACCTTAAGTTAATAGAATTTCAGGCTCCTTTTATGTCAGGGGAAGGATGAGGGTTGAAATCAAGAGGTGACCCATAATCACAGACATCTGGGCAGCAGTAAAAGGAGGGCATTGTGAAACTTGTTTGTCCTTGGTCAGGTCACAAGACTCCTATAAATCATTTTTTTTTTTTTTTTTTTTGAGAGGGAGTTTCACTCTTGTTGCCCAGGCTGGAGTGTAGTGGCATGATCTCAGCTCACTGCAAACTTTGCCTCCTGGGTTCAAGCGATTCTCCTGCCTAGATGGGATTCTCCCACCTAGATGGGATTACAGGCACCCGCCACTGCACCTGGCCAATTTTTTGTATTTTTATTAGAGAAGGGGTGTCACCATGTTGGGCAGGCTGGTCTCGAACTCGCCGCCTTGGCCTCCCAAAGTGCTGGGATTTCAGGCATGAGCCAGCACACCTGGCCACTCCTATAAATCTTTAGCATAACATTGTTACTTGTGTGTATGCTCCTTATTTCCTCAGGGATAAGTTTTGAGAAAGGATTATTATCATGCTTGCTTTAAAGTTAAACTGTAAACTAAATTCCTCCCATAGTTAGTTCAGCCTATACACAGAGATAAGCAAAAGCACTTCACCTAAAAAGGTGTCACCAGGTGGGAGGGCAGTTAGGAGCCTGAACCCAGAAGTATCTGAGACAGGTCTCAATCAATTTAGAAAGTTTATTGTGCCAAGGTTAAGGGTTCACCTGTGACACAGCCTCAGGAGGTCCTGATGCCACGTGCCCTAGGTGGTTGGGGTACAGCTCGCTTTATACACTTTAGGGAGACATAATACATCAAAGATTGGCATTGGTTCAATCTGGAAGGGTAGGACCACTTGAAGTGGGGGGAGTCTAGGTGATAGGTAGATTTAAACATTTTCAGATTGGCAGTTGGTTGAAAGAGTTATTATCAGTAGAAAGAAATGTCTGGGGCTGGGCGAGGTGGTTCACACCTGTAATCCCAGCACTTTGGGAGGCCAAGGCGGGTGAATCACCTGAGATCAGGAGGTCAAGACCAGCTTGGGCAACACGGTGAAACCCTGTTTCTACTAAAAATATGAAAGTTAGCTGGGCATGGTGGCATGCACCTGTGGTCCCAGCTACTTGGGAGGCTGAGGCAGGAGAATAGCTTGAACCTGGGAGGTGGAGGTTGCAGTGAGCCAAGGGCATGCCACTGCACTCCAGCCTGGGTGACAGAGCGAACCAGCTCAAAAAAAACAAAACAAAACAATAAAGGAATGTCTGGGTTACCATAAGGGATGTGGAGACCAAGGTTTTTTTTTTTTTTTTTTTTTGAGACGGAGTTTCGCTCTTGTTACCCAGGCTGGAGTGCAATGGCGCGATCTCGGCTCACCGCAGCCTCCGCCTCCTGGGTTCAGGCAATTCTCCTCCCTCAGCCTCCTGAGTAGCTGGGATTACAGGCACGTGCCACCATGCCCAGCTAATTTTTTGTAGTTTTAGTAGAGACGGGGTTTCACCATGTTGACCGGGATGGTCTCGATCTCTTGACCTCGTGATCCACCCGCCTCGGCCTCCCAAAGTGCTGGGATTACAGGCTTGAGCCACCGCGCCCGGCTGAGACCAAGGTTTTAATGAAGCCTCCAGGTAGCAGGTTTCAGAGAGAATAGGCTGTAAATGTGTCTTATCAGACTTACAGTTTGCATTGATCTTAATGCTGGTCAGCTTTTCTAAATGCCAAAAGGAAGGCGAGTATAATGGGGCATGTCCAACCCGTCTTTCCATCATGGCCTGAATTAGTTTTTCAGGTTAACTTTAGAATGCCCTTGGCCCAAACCATTCAGATGGTTGGAGGGTCTCAGAATTTTATTTTTGGTTTACAGGAGCAAAATGGACCTAGTCAGGCTAGGCCTCCTTTTCACTGCTACTGGACCACTTAAGGGAGAATTGCCTTTGCAGTCTTTGGGGTTACTTTTTGCTAATGGACCCAGGTGGGACTATTCCAATTAATCAGAGAAATTCTAATAATATCAAACCTCACTAAACTCTGCTTTTGTGACTGGTTTCCTAACTGTAGCTCATTCAGCTACTTAATGTTTTATTTACTACTTGGTTTTACTCCCATTTCCTGTTTTTCTCCTGTTGGTGAATTTTGCATTCAATCCTTTCAGTTGCTTTAAATTTCCCACATGAGTTACATCCTTCAAATTCCTGTTCCGCAATGACATGGGCTATAGGAAATGCTGCAGAGATGTATCTGTGCTGGTATTGTTTGTTGCCTAGCTTGTGTATCATGGCATGTAGCCAAAAGATACTTGGTTTAACCTGCGTACCGGGAAGTTGTGGCTATTTCACTGAGGACCCCGTAAAGGCTTCATG